TATCGTAATATTTAATCAGTAGTCAGTGCATAACAAATGATAATCATTTTGTTTTTCACGGGTTAACATTATCATAGATCATGAACCCATAACAATCAAAATACAATTACATCATAATTCATAATTTTTTTTAATTTAAATTTTTAAAAATCATAGAAAATAAATAACCATACTTAAATAAAATATTTAAAAAATGAAAAAATTTGAATGGAACAAAAGTTATTTCAAGTGGTAAATAGTCCTGTTACGCCCTGTATATATACCTTTTATAAGTAGATAAATTTATTTTAACGGTTACACTGAATTACACAATAGGAGGGACGAATATATTATGTTTGAAGTGAAATCATCACCTTAATAAGTTGAATAAAGTCATAAATGTCAGTAAATATTCTCCTAGCTATTGCTACTACCCAACCACAAAAAATGGTTTATGTGTTTTGACGATAGATTGAAATCCATTTTAAGCACTTCTATTTGATATGCTGCTCCGTCATACGCGAATGATGCACCAGATTTTTTTTCCGGTCGATCGATTAATTTCTTTACAGATATCTTCAAGCATTATAAAACGATGTCACCGCGTAGTCAATACTGTTGTGTCAAACTGCCACTAAACGTTATGTAAATATGGTAACACAGCAACATACCATCACGCATAACTCAGGTCATAACACGCGTATAAATATTTACTCTTCAATTTCATAATTAGTATAACTATTGCCTATTTTATATTCATAATGAAAAACATCAATTCTCACCTGAGAAGCGTTTATTAGAATGATATTAAAACGGCGAAAATGACCTAAAAGTTAGATTCGACGAGTTAGGTAAACTATATGTGATATAGTTCTGATGTGAAATTATACCTACTATATCTAGTGTGCGTCGGCAAACGCCGGAATTCAAGTATGGTGTAAGGAGTTGAAATGCATTACCGATAAAACTACTATAACGGCCACCGATTTTTCGTAAAAAAAAAACGCGATTATTGAGAACGCGGGTAATACATGATTACTGGAAAACAGGCTTATATATTTTTGTATACCGGAAGACACTTCAAACAGTCACCAACTGACTGTTATTAGTTGACTATACATTGTATTCGTATGTATGTGTATATTGTATATCTCGTCTCACAAGCCAATGTGACACCGTCGAAGATTTCGTTTATTTTTTGTGTTTTCTTAATATTCAGACGACTAAAAGCGTGTATATACATACTTGTGTACATAATATATTCACACAAATATAAAAAAAAAAGAGAGAAGTAGAAGAAAAAAAACAGCGACCCTGCAGAAAAAACTACGACACCTCTCTACCCGCGTTATTTCGAATTCCGATCGCATCGGCGGCGGAAGCAACGACAACAAGGCATCCATCGTCGTTTATGCGTCTCCTCGACCCCCCGGGTGTGCGTTCGTGCGCCGACTGCCCCCGTCGTTGTCGCGTATAAATAAACGATTACCGAAATAATGGGCCGTTGTTACACGTTTTGTATTTAAATTCGATTCCTCCGTCGATTACTCTTTGTCGTTTTTTTTTTTTTTTTTTAATGTTTTTTTCTATTATGTCTCTCGTCGTCGTCGTCGATGCACGCGCGCGAACCAGAGAGACACGGGCGAATATCACGCGCACATTCCGGCAGCAGCATCGAAAAAGGCGTCACGCTCTTCCTGTCGCCGCGGAACATAGCGGAGACCATCACGCCCGGTCAAGTTTTCCTTTTCGCCGCCTTTCGAGGAAATAAAACCTTTAAAATATATGTATTTAAAATCCCCCCTCCAGAAAAAAAAATAAATCAACTCAAAATAAAGTGCTGCAATATCGGTTCGCCTATATCACTAAAACCATTTTGTAATTAATTATTTTTAATATTAAAGAAAATCGTTCGTATGTGAAGTAGGTAAATCCTTGCAAGTCTGCAACGCCACGACAGCAACCATGCGCACGTTTTTCAAGATAAATTAGGATAATTTTGAATACACAAAATATTTATGTTACAAAAGTAAATCACTATTCTTGGGTTAGCCAATGATATAAATGTGGCGAGTTGGAAAACAGGATACATTGGGTTATTTTAATTTGTATGCCGTATGCAATGTGCATGTTCGATTAAATAGTTTTGGTAAATTTAAACTAAAATTGAATTAATTTGTTATTACGAAATAAATTTACAATTCCTTTCAGTTTTTAACGAGTTGAAATATGAATTCACACTTGAAATTTTTAGAAAAATAAACTTTATTTACATACACCGTCTACCAATAAGTAATACACACCTTGTATCAGATTGTTAAGCATTTTTATAGAGCTAAAAAATTTGGTTCACCTAAATGGAAAATATAACACGAAATGCCGTGATTTGTACTTTACAGGCTTATTCTAAAAAGAAAAAATTATAACTGGATTTCCGATATTTTTACACCGTCCAGTTATGAATAAACAACTCGCAAAGATCGAAAATATATCAGAATGTAGATTCATCACATCTAGAAAATTCTAATACAATATTTTGTATTCAGAATTTTCTACGATTAGTTTTATTTGAATGACAAAAAAAAAATAGACAATAATCGTCGTACCTAGTAAAACTAAAATACATTCCTCGCTTCGCTCATAATTAATACAAAAATATTGCTAAAGAAGTTGTGACTTCGTGTATAGTTCTATATCGTTTTGTAAACGGATATCGTGGATGCGTCAACGTTGTCTGGTAAAATATTTTGTACTCGATCGTATTTATATAAAGAAAAGAAAAAAATGTTTGACGACGACGACGAATAATAACAATTGTCCGGGACGCGAAACCAACGCGTATGGTCGACAACGGATGACAGAGGAAATAACGAAATAAAATTCCGTCGTCTCCCTTTTATTTAAGGGTTAGCAACGGACAGATTAAAAAGCGAAAATACCCGACACATGCGGACCACCGGCGTCGCACAGGGTTTCGAAAAACAATTTCAAACGTTAATAATAATAATAATAATAAGGTTTTGTAAAGTTTTGTCGTGCACATTTAACTTGTAGAGAAAACACTTAAAACAATAATAATAATACAAAGTATCTTTTAAATTTTTTTTCATACGCTTAACCTAAAATCTAACTGAAGTAATTGTAATAGATGAATGCATCAATAGAAAACATTTATTGTCGCGATAAATGGATTTAAGGTAATTAAATATACCTGCCGTGTAAGCGTAGAGAAGTCTTAATATATTTATAGAGTGACATTGTTTTAATTTAGACAGACATACTTCAAACGATGGGTAAGCCACTATGAGAAGTTGAGAAGTAGGATATAGAGATGGATTTAATGTATATCTGCGCGCAACGAGTAATCATTGCTAATGAAAAAAGATTCTGAGCAGAGTTCGGTTATACGTATTTTGAAAGGCTGTACTATTTACGATTTTCATCAAAATTTGATAATAACATTTTTATAAAAATTATTCTACATTGCACTTAATTTTTTTTTTTTTTTTTACCACAAAGTACGACTAATAATGAACCTCTTAATAAAATTTCAAGCATTTCTGTTTGGGTTAACAATTCTCACCTATAACAGTGGCCCAACCATCGTGTCAAGTATGTTCTTCTTTTTTTTTTCTTTATTGTTGCCGAGATTATCTACTCCAGGTGAACTGTTGTAAAGATTGATAAATACTGTTTCAAATAAACCGGAAATTTCACAATCTTTCAAGGTAACACCAACCTAAAATATACAAATATTGTATTAAAAAAAAACTACCTTCAGAACTGGATTTTCGAGAGCAATCAATCTCCATAAATAATTATCGCATTTGTCGTTCTTCTATTTTGTTAGATTCGGTTATAGTGTTTCTGCACAGCTTGGACAGCAGGCTTCTTAAAATAATAATGTTAGATAAACGAGACCGGCTTAAACATTAATTTTCAAAACCAAAATTATTTATTGTTAAACAACTTTAATTCGTTTATCTATAACTTAATTTACATTAATTATCTCATTCACGAGAAACAAACCCGAGAAAGAATGTTTATGTTGTTTAATGGACTTCAAAAATTTATTTTTCTTAGAATATAATAATATCGACATTTCGGAATCGTAATTTTCCCGTGTGTGTGTAAGTGTATGTGTGTGTGTGTCGGTGGGTGAGTGAGTAGGTATATAGGGAGATTAGGGGGAAATTATTTTAGCATACGAGTTTCATACATTATACTATGGGTTATTAGACAAATTTTTCATAATCCAACAAGCTAGGATAACCCACTCAACGAACGTGCCAAATTCCCGGTTTCTAAACGTACATTAAACAATTATATGTAATTCCATATTAAAACTTAAAAATAGTTTGGTAACTTTAATACATACTAAAAATAATCAAATCAAACTCTGTTTCGGACTAAATCAAACCTGCTCAAATTATGTTTGATTTGTTATTATAACTACGAATAAACAACCTTCGTAACCTATTCAAAATAAATTGATAATATCGTCACTATTTACTCGTAACTACGGTCAGATGCAATGGAATTAAAAGATGTGCAAACTCATATTTCGGACAACACCTCAAAAAATATTTTTGAAACTCTTAATTTCTGGGATGTGAAGTTCACCCTTGAACTTTGAAATGTTTATTTTGTTTCTATCAAATCTGGCTTACCTCGGAAACACGGATAAAAACAAAAACTGAATTTAGTACGATAAACAAAAAATATAAATTAATAATACATGGTAACCTTCATCCTAACCTCATACAAAAATATTTACAGCGATTGTGAAATTATAAAAAAAAAAACAAATACAAAAACAAAACGAAATAAAATTGAAGTCCAATAAGCAAGTTGAACAAAAATTAATTACACACGGTATCATGACAAATAGTGTTTTTTGGGGGGAGGGGAGGAGGGTGCTGGACAAGTAAAAATTAGCGCCCGGCTCGGTGGCGCTTATAAATTAAATCAGACGTTTTCAATTAAATTCGTGAAAGTTTGTTTTCGAAACATGTGTTTTTATGTGCAAAGGCCGCGCCGCGGCGGTGGACATCGGTTTTCGAAAAGGGATCGCTCTAGTAAAACGGTCGGGACAAGAGGAAAAAGTGGAAGAGGAGGAGGAAGAGTATGAAGAATATATATGTATGCATAGGGAAACGTGGATGAGGAGGAGAAGTGGAGATGTGGAGACCGAGGAAATGGTGGTCAGTGACGCGGCGGCGAGGTGGCTCCCATAAATCAGAATACTCGTTTTCCTACCCTTTAATTTGCCCGATGCGTATACGCGTACACCCAGTGGCAATTAATTAATGCGGTTATCGGCGGTCGAGTGCGAACGAACAGCAGCAGCGGTTCCTCGCGCAAAACACGCGTATTTCTCGTGAGGGATTTGTTATTTCAATAATATATAACGTTTCCCCCCCCCTCGTCCCCCTCCCAAAACCCCGATTTTTTTTTACTCGTTCATTCGTCTGTTCAAAAAACGAACCTTGGAAAAATCGACACATGCGCGCGCGACTTACCCGCGATCAAATAAAAACACTAGACCTTCTATACCCAGCGATAATAATAATAATACACTCTCGCTGTAACTTTTATTGCATTATTTGCATTACCTGCGTGCATATTATATTGCACACTATCCATGCAGTTATATATAGATACGTCGTTTCTGCGTTATTTTTGTATCTCCAGTCCCAGGGGAAAAGAAGTCCGTATGCTTTTTTTCGAAAAAACAAAAAGTGCATCGTATCGACTATTATGGTATTTTAATTTTCGGTATACAATATTGTGTTAGAATTTGATATACATAACACATACGCGTATGCGATTGATAGATCGACAAATTACACAAAACACGAGTATAAAAATCAAAAGAAAAATCTGAAAATCAACTTGCCTTTGCCTTTCTTTCCCGGGACCAAATATGCAATACTATTTTAATCTTGATTGATAATATTTTTTTTTACACGGATTTCGTTTCGATACGTCCTACGGACTGTTATATCCCTCACGCGAATAAAACAGTCAATATAAATCGATATGTTAACACGAGTAATGTGAAATCGGTTGTCGCATTAAGCGTACGCACGTAAGGGCCGTTAATACGGGGTGTGCCAAACCGAAAGCGTTTTCATAACGGACGTCACGTGTTGATTGAACGTAAGGAAATCGTGTCCAGGCCTCGACAAGGGCAGACAGATGATGTATAAAACGACCGGGCCAGACGAAGAGGGAATTCGGTTAGTTCAGGATAGTGGAGTGTATTCACGAGACACCACTGGCGCGCGAGAGGGAGGAATTGACATATCCTCGACTACGCCAACCTGTTTAGTCATGTCGTAGTTATTATTATAACTAGTACTGCTCACTAAGTCTTGACATGAGTTTGGTGACACATCTTTTCTTATGAATTATTTTAATGTCGAATTGTTACCCATATAATTAGAGCGAAAAATTAATAATAACTACATTTTAGAAATTAAAATTGTGTACAATTCCCATTCAAAGGTCGTCTCAAAAGAGCACGCAAGAGATAAAATATTAACAATATTATGAACAAAGCCATATGTTTTCCTATGATAATTTACAAACTTTCAACTTCACGACAAAGTATATAGTTATAACTTGATAAAGCGTTATGCGATTTTAATCGATGGCAGTATATTAAAAGTATAGGTAAAGTTTTAAAAATAAAAAAAAAAATTGAATTCAGAGATCAGATTCAGAATCAGGATTCAGAAATCCAGAGATTTCTGAAAATTTCATTTATTATTGGAAAAATATACGGTCTATAATCTTTAATGTTTGAACAAATGAATAGAGGAGATTATACTTAAATAATGAACTATAAAATTCAATTTCAAAAACTCGATTATAAAGTAAAAAAGATCACTGTTGTCAAGGTTTAGGTCATTAGTTAAATAGAGTAAAAACCTTTAGGAAGACCAAGGTTAAGGTAAAAATGATCGTGTTAGGGAAATAAAGGTAATGGAGCCGGATTCTCGATGGAAAGAAGCTGCAGAGAACAGGAATATTTGCAAGTAGATGAAATATAATACAATTCTGAAATTCGACGTTACTAATCTGTACTTTTTTAATGTACTACTATAATTTGTTCAACGTTTATTATATTGTTCAATTAAAACTCGACAAATTTGAGATAATTAATTATAAGTGCTTCACCAAAGTATAAAACTGTTCGAACGTTCTGCTAAACAAAATAGCGTATCAATTGAACGTAAATTATTCAAAGCCAGGCAAATTAGCTAATTTTTTTACTAGTTTAAGTTAAGTTGTCCTGAAAAAAAAATTAATAACTAAACTAAATTAAAATTAATTTTGAAATATAAATTAATTTAAGTTTCACATTTGTAGGAGAATAATAACTTAAAAGTTACTTTGTTTTTTAATAACCTACTACGTATTTTGTACACTGTACTTTTCGAACAGAAAATGACTAGCCAATCAAGACTCGTGTTGGTATTTGATAATATTCACGTTTAAAGTAAAAATACGTAATTTTTGTCAAAAAACGTGGATACACAGGTTTTATACAAAATATCCGTAAATAACTTTTTAGACATAATTTAAATTTTAACGAATTAACCAAAAGTCAAATTTAAAGTATCCGTTAATAGAAATAATCAAGTCGTTTTCTAACATTCTAATTTTTTTTCTTTCAACTAGTTAAGTTTAAAGTTATCAAAAAAAAAAAAAAGTAACTTATAATTAATAACGTTTAACTTATACACCAGTTACTGCCCAGTTTTGAAATTATTGTTCACGCCTATTTTAAGATAGCAAAAACATTATTATAATACTTCAACATCACGATATTATATTATTGCGATAATAATTAATGTGGCGGCACGTTTACATTATGATATTTTGTCAATTTAAATATTGGGTATCATAAATTAATGTTTATTCATCTCAAACATACATTGTAAAAATTATCGTACAATTATTATTAATGGAACTACAACTGATATACCTATATTATATTATACGTCGATCGAATTTTTCATTTTTTCATTTCCCCACCCCCTCCCCAAAGATATATTTTATATTTATTCAAAATAATATATTATATTATTCCGTTATTTTAATTGTAAACAAACTCGTAAATTAACGTAGATAGGTATATAAAGCATTAAAATAATAATAATAATAATAATACAAATGACCTTTTATTATCAAAACATGTCAACGAGTCTTTCCGGAATAAAAAATGGTAGTATTCATTTACTGCAACGCGCTCGGTAGGTATCTACGTTATTTTAATTTATAATTTCTCGCAGCGTGACAATTAAATTCGAATTAATAATGATATATTATTACTGAAATATAGGTCGGTGCGGCGGAGGAGAAGTTTATACCGATATTGTTTAAGGGTTCGTGTATACGGGCGGTTTCAACGAAATTTCTCAAAACAATTTTCGACCTAACCGAATTTATTGACACGAAAATTTCGGTATAAATTTGAAAACAGTCCCGGGTTCTAGTACTATAAAGGCATATACACATATATTATATAGGATTTATTGCGTTTTATCGTGACATTTGTTCCGAAACATGTTCGCGTAAAATTGAGAAAAAAAAAGTATCCTTGAACGTGGATTTTAGAACTTTTACACGAAAGCGAAAGTCCACAACATTATTATCAAGAACACGTTGGCATATTGCTTTTCAATTCACTCGTGGATGAGACGCACGCGGTAAATACTCAAGATTAAAAAGTGGCCTTTTTTCCCCATTTATTAAAAATAATAATAATAATCATATTTAACTAAACGGATATGTGATGTTCTTTAATTGTGAACGTCACCTGGGTTCACGCTATAAATCATACGCGGTCATTCCGAAATAAACGGTTTTCGACACGCGAGATTTTTATAATACTGTCGTGTTCAAAAACGCTCGCGCCGACATTCGGTGTATTATTATTATAAGAAGGAAGACGACTGCCGGAGAATAACAAGAAAATAATAATAATTTAATATCTGATAAAACGATAGAGCGAGAAAGCGATTGCAAAAATACTTATTTACAATATCGGTATTGTTATTTTTTTTTTTCAATTTTCAATTTTCCTGCTCGCAGAGTACTACTGCAGTATACGTCTTAACCGAAACGTGATTTAATAATAAATATACTGTTATACGGTATAATACAAAACTGACCATTGTCACTGGACAATAATCTCGATATATATATATATATATATGTATACAGTATACACATATGCTATAATACTTCCACAGTTCTATAATAATATTGTGTTTTATATATTATGTTTCAGTGAACGGTTACGAGCCGGATTTCATGTACCCACTGGAAAACGTGACTATTGCCCAAGGCCGCGATGCGATATTCACGTGCGTGGTGAACAATATCGGTGGTAACAGGGTGAGTGCTCCCGAAGGCGTACTCCAACCAGCCAGGGTCGGTATCAGTAACTATATTATAAGTTGATGATAGAAAAAAAAATGAAATTATTCTTCGCATCAAGGCTTCGTCTATCTGCACCACCACCAGCGCTGCACAATTTCCTCACCTCTTTCACTAACACTATACACTATACACTACTATACTATATTATAATACTCACACCGACTATATATTATTACCGTATTATTATTATTGTTATTATTATTAACACTTGCACAACTACGTTGCATTAATCGGGCAGTTTTTGTGAGAAACATACGATAAGTAAGACGTTTTAATATGTTCCGATTATACATCGATACTGTAAGAAATTTTATGCGGCGGTTACTATAATTATGCTATCATTTTCAAACAATATTATTTACCGAAAACGCTCACTTCTCCCCAAATTATTAGAAAAATAAATAAAAACAGCCGATAAATCAAGTTTATCGATTTCGAAAAACTCTAAACTTAAAACTGCGCTATGGACGTTTAAGTTCTATATTGTGTAAATTTAAAACCTCAAATCTTTATGGGTTGAAAACCACTTTGAGTATAAACAAAGGTAGGGGTACAAGGCAAAAGCCACGCCGGAAGATCATATTTTGAAATATAAAAATCAATAGTTTTGGTCTAGTGTCGTCAATTCGTACCCATTGGAAATTCTAATTTTAATAATTTACACTTTTTTGAGGATATGTTTCTATCACCCGGGGAGAAGTGATATTATTTGTCCATTATTTGTCGTAAAAAATCAAAAATTTGAATTTTTAGCATGTTTCTCACAAAATACGAGTCCGTTTAATAGCTCTATGCACGCAGAGCACTTGAAAGACAATAATTGTTTACTCGATTTTACAACATGATTTTTATTTATTATGATCAAATGATTCTATTGGAGAATTATTACATCTGCCTACACTCCTTCCACCTTAAATTAGTGTATTAATTTCAAAATCTCCATATTCAATCGCTGGATCACGAAAAAAAAAAATCACTGTATATAATCAATAAATCTTCGTCTATACTTAACTAATTACTACATTATTATGAATACTATAGTTGCTGACTAGTGACAATAGTGCCCGGGGGGAAAGCTTATAGAGTTCAAAATATAGTAATAATATGTTATAATAACGTGTTTTTTTAGAACTGGTTTTCTCAACACTTTAGTGATATTCGTTTGTATTGGTGAAACATGATGATACTTTTTCTTCGGTTTTTAAATATAATTTTCTTTTGAATATCAGTGAAATCAATTATTATGATGCCTAAGAAGACAATCTACTTGTCGTATTTAAGGGGTTGCCTTAAAAGTAGATTTCTCAAATTTTTGGGAAAATAAATTGTACTAACGCAAAAATTCACTAACAAATACATTACAAGTAGTCCCGTGACTTATAGACTTGACTAAGAAATCAAATGCCCAACATAAAACAAAAATATCTTGTGCTGTGCAGCATAAAAATTAAAACTATTAGATTTTTAAATAATAATAACTCTTTTTGTATTAATAAAATCGAAAAAAATAAAACCTACATTGCAAAGTGCAAGTTCTCCTTGTTCGTATTTCTCAATTAAATCAGATTAATAAGCCGAATAGTGTTTTCCTGCACAAAACAATACTTACAGTTGCATTGCGGGATGTAAATACTCTAAATATAGTTGAAAACGATTCGTTTTTTTATACATTTAGATCAATAAGCAGAAGTAGCATAATAATAATATTTAATTCTAGTAGTACAATGTCTGTTTTGAAAAAAAATTGTGACTTCATATAGATACTTCTTTTCTATGTTTTGTAAGAAATATTTAATGGTTTTTTTTTTATGGTACTATTAAATACGAGTTTAACCCATTAACCCATGCTTTAACTAAATTTACTTAGTAAAAAAAAAAACCAACAAATATGTTTTCGATAAAACATATATTTATTAGTCTTTTGTTATTTCCTACAAAATATAGACAAGAAATCGAATAATTCGAATGTGTTTACAAAATTAAAATTGAACGAACGGGAGTTTGTGAATTTTACTCCATCTTATTGGTCTAAAACGTCAAATCCGTCGATAAAAACGATCATTCCCCTTCGCCTTAAATGGATATCAAGCAGTCGATAAGTGGAAAAGATCTTATCGTGTATAGGTATCATTTAAATATAAAAATAATTTTCAAATTTCGTAAAATTTGAAAATCTTTTTAAATTCTCTTAAGATTTTAATTTTAATAAATTGTAATAATTTATATAAGTTAAATATTACTAACTATTGGATAATAATGCCGGTTAGGTAATTAATTTATCAAGAAAATAACATCTATATTTTATGGATAATTTTAAATGAATAATTACTTTACTAATAAGTATATCCTAATAATTAATATTGATACAAAATACTCAACTTAAATAAATTAAAATGTTAATTTCAATATAAGTTTAGTCTAAGTTTATTAGAAATTAAAAACATAATTATATATTTCGAAGAATTGCTTTAGAGTGATTTAATCAACGTTTTATATACCTATAGATAATACTCGTATTTAGTTATCTAGTACAATTATACTCTAAATACCTACGTAAACTAATCGTCAGAAATAAAATTAAGTTCTTCAATATTTTCATTGGAGTACCTAGTAAATTATTAAATATGACACAATAATGTCAAAAACAAAATTATCATCAATTTAAAATTTTAATGTAGTATGATATTTTAATATAATTATCTTCCTTTCTTATCTTTTTTACGTTATTCTTAACGGACGACAGCAAGGTGTGGGATGAGTTCCCTCATTTAACCCCTTGATAGAATTATCTATAGAATAAATGGTAATAATTATAGTAAAAAATAAGATATTTAAAGAAATAACGTTAATAAAATAATAACCCTTATTCTACACTAATCTGCACATCGTGATGTACATTTTATTAGTACAAAAATTACGCAAATCGAATTATATCCCGGACGTCTGTTAATTTCATTTCACTGTAAATATTCAAATATGCGATAATTAAATAGTAAAATAGTTAAAATTATGTTATAATGACAATAAAAATGTAAAAAATGTTATTAAAACGTAATTCGTAAAACTACTTATAATATAAATATCACGACCAAATTATTTTATTTTTTTCATATTTATTCAGTAGAACAATATTATTATAATAATATATTATAGTCCAAAAGTACTCGTTTATATTCATTCTTATCCGTCTGTTGTATGATATATATTTATAAATATTTTACCATTTTAACGTCTACTAATATTATCTCATAAAAAAATGTATGAAGTTAATTTGTTCACGTTTCGTTTCATAAAATATGTATAATATTATAATGCTTGAATTATAATTTGCTGAAACGAAATTTAAAAAAAATAATTATTACTTTGATTTTTACAATCGTAGAACGTTTGATTTATTAATGTCCATTACTGGAGAGAAAAAAATAGTCTGGTCAGGTTAAATAGTTAAAAACGCATACCTAGCTAAAATAATTATATAAAGTTCAGGGCGACGACGGATTGATGTGAGCATTATTCGTGGTGGATAAATATTTCTCCCGTTTTGCAAAATTAGTAATTTCCCACGAGATGTCCCCGTAGATTACGAAAACAACTTTTCAATTCACCGGCTAGTTTGTGATTATTCAAAAACCGCATTTCCGTGTGCACGGATATTAATATTTTCGAAAACGTTCTTTGCCCTGCAGATGTAGATTGAGAATAGATCGGCCAATGAAGATTTGATAGTCAAGTGGTCCAAATTTTTTTAGTCAAAATGTATTACTATGGAAAATAAAAGAAACTCTAAAATAAATATTAGGTATCATAAAATATCGCTTTTTTTTTTATTTTCAGTATTTTAAGTATTAGTTATGATAATAATATTGGTAGGTACACGTTTATTTTACAACTACATTACAAATATATATCAATTAAAATTCACAAATCTTTCGTAAAGATTCAAATACTTTGTACATTTTAAGATAATGGAAAAAAAATTCTAATAATAATTCTATTGTATTATATACACTATGTTAATTCGGGAGCGCGTAAAAACCTGGTACTTAAGTACGAATCTGAAAAATATAAAACGAGACAACATAAATCTAGAATTATTGGAATTATCTGGAATCCAGATTTGTAAATAACAGGTTTAATCAGTTCACATTTCGATATCCGTTAAATACTAAATTTCAGATATTTACTTGCCAGATTTATGCTTTTCAGATATGTCATTCCAGATTTTTATAAATACCCATTAAATCACCTGATCATTTTTTTGAATTAACAAAATTCAAATACGTTTTCTCTTATGCCTTTTTAAGTAAATTGTATTTTTATCATAAGTCACACAGATACACTAAAACGCAAACAATGTCTACATAACATTTTTCATGAGTTGTATTTATTATCACGTTATTCAAATTTTCAAACGTATAGTAAAGTTAATTATTTTTAACATATATAGGTATAATATTATATTTTTTGAGAAAGTAATAAATCCAAACTCTCACTAATGTGGGTTTATAAGCAATGAAATATATTTTATTTCAATTTCTTAATGATAAAATCTGGTGAGTAAAAATGTTTTATTTGTTTTTAATTAAGGTATCGCTCGTTTATTCTATCGCACTCAACAATAATATGTCGTTTAATATATTATATCCAAGTAAAATAATTTATTGTTATAAGACCTGCAAATAAATAAATTTAACAAAAAAAAAAAAAATAATAATAATAATAATATTAACAATAAGGCGTAGTAAACCATAAACGAGAAATTTAAAAATAAATATCTCAGATTTACAGGGATGGCCGAGACATTGCTTTTAGTAATCTTCCTGCCCCACTGTGGAATGTACTCGTCGGAGTTTCGTAATTATTTTACGCCTTGAGACGCAATGACAGTGGCCAAAAAACCTCTTTCGGTGTATAGAGTATTAACCATCTTTCATTATAAACTTCCCGAACACACTGATCCGCTTATCGGCTCATGCATCACCGGTTACCAACGATCGCCGTGATCGGATTTGAAACGAAAACTTCCCAACTTTGAAATTGGAACAACCCATGGACGAATAACTGCACCAGAAGATGTCTTTCTATATAATTCTTCTCTGTATTATATACCTATACCAATACCTCCTCCTTCTCCTCTTTCGCCTTACTTTATCACTCATAACAAAATAATATTCCAGCACCTCTGCGGCAGCATCCTCGCCCTATGCCCTTGCAAAACGAAAATAATCTCCTTGCCACTCGAATAAACCGCTTTGTACTCGACTATGTTTTCATCAATGCTAGATGTATATAATTTTATGGTATAAAATATATTAATATACAAACCAATCTTTTGTAATTAAGTTAATCGCAAACCAATTACAAAACCGTTATGACGGGTATAATAATATATTTTTATTTTTCTATTCGAAATTCGATTAAATATGTAATTTATGAAATGCTAAACAGATTAGTTCAAGTGAAGTGTAAAAGCATATAAAACAAACTGTTTAGAAATATCGTAAATTTCGTTTTTGAATATTATACCCAAATATTGTTTAAAATATTTCAGCCAAGTTTAAATTAGGAGCATACCTGATGGGGGAGTGAGTAGAAAGCAATCGACCCCTCCCCATAGACCTCATATTATACTCTTTCACAATTCAAAATATTTCTATTATAACACTAGAGTCTTAATTTTTTAAAAAAAATTATCATACCAAATATTATTACTTATTACATTGTTTATATTGTATAGGTACAGTAAATTTGTTTGTAAATTATATTAGTCTCGGATACATTTTTTATGTCTTAAACGGAGGAGAGATTCGATACCTTTTCGGTCAAATAGAATATTTTTAGGGAGAATATGGATGGTTTCGGAGATCTACATTCCCCTAGTCTCCCAACCCCCAACTCTAACAGGATTTTTTTTATTTCATACTGCTCCTATCTGAAAACGCACCTGGTTTTAAGTGATTAAAAATTGTCTGTGTTACAAAATGTGAATTCAAAAGGTATGCTGAAATAAATACTATTTAAATAGCTACAAGAATCTAAAATTGAATGGTAATATATACCTATCCAATAACGGTGTGTAGTTATGGAATTAAGAAATATCAAAAATATATATATATATTTTTTTTTATATAACAAAACTATATGACAAAAATAAACATAGTATAGCGTGACGATTGAAATGAATATATAATCAACATTAATAATGAATTATTAAATAAATAATTTACACAGAAAAAAATAAAATCTTACTAGTGCTTTAATTTTTAAAAACTTGATTCATAAACCGACATTTTGCTTCCCCGCACGTACGTTAATTTATTATTCAATATCTACTTAAGCCGTCTATTCTCATATTATAAAAAATTAATACTTTCAGGAGATAATTATTAAAACCTAAACCAGCTTCTTATATATATAAAAAACGTTCAATAATATTACTTCGACTTATAAAGGAGAAATCATTTTTAAAATTAATGTTTTTTAAAAAAAATAATCTCGAGGCAAAATATTTTTTTATTAAAAAATCGTATTAATATAAATATAAATATAAATGATAATAACAATAATGATTTAATTCTGTAAGAATATTGCAATTTAGTACGTAACATTTGTGGCGGGAGAAGTTGGAAAACAAGAGTATTTTTTTTTTTAATATAACATCATTAACGCCGGTAAAGCCTTAGCATCCGAAAACGGATTAAAGAAATAATAATAATACTCGAATAGGTAATATTCTCTGCGTTATTTTTCAACTTGTGGCGATTTTTAGCGTTTATTTTTTTGTATAGTTTGGGCTAGATTAGTATTTAATTATTTATCTATAAAAAGTAACTGAGAAAAACTTTTAGGTATTTTACTATGCCAAATAAAAAAATAAAAACAAAATCACGCGTTACTGAAAGAAACGAATAACTCATAGGTCATTCGTCTACTCAGAATTTTAAAACAGATTACTTAAGGAAATAAAAATGGTAAAAATGTACCCAATCATTTTGTATCTATAAAATATTTTTAAAAAGACCAACGTCAATTATATATTTATGTATTATTATAATTTACATTTTTAAAATATATTCAATATTTTGCTTTTAGTACCTATCTAATTAACTTTTGGGAGATAATACATTTCCATTTCTATCAGCACATTATTTATAGTTAGGTATTTATTTATGAATACTTAAAAATAAAATATCTTTAAATCGGTCTTAATTGTAGGATTTTACATTGACGGTTTTTTTTTTTTTTAATTAAAGATATTTTGAAAATAGCTATCAGCGTAGTAAATTTTGTATAACTACCTTAGATGGACTATTTATAAATTCTGAAAAAATTAACTGTAACATTAAATTCGAAAAACGTTTAAAAATAAATACTTTGCTATGACTTACTTACAGAGAATTTTTTATTTTATTATGCTTTTAAAGTAAATAAGTATAATTTATACCGGGAACCTCACTGTTGTCTGATAAAAACAATAACTTTAATTCTGTTAAATATTTAAACATTTTTTTGTGTTATTAAATAATTAGTAGTGAAAAGTCGCAGTGCAATATTATTCTGTTTTATATATTTTTTTTTTTTAACTAAAAACAAAAAAACTGATACTGAGAATGGCAACGGCCACTATTGTAGGTTAGAGGTTGGTAGGATACATAAGGTTATTTTATTTATTTTTGTAAGCAACGATAAACCATTACTTGACGAAAGATGATTCCACGTGCAGTTAAATAATACATAATTTAAAGTGCAGTAATGTTTTTTGCGATTTTCATTTAAATTTGATTTCAAAACGCTTATTAAAAGAAAAAAAGTCATCCGATGATTTTGAAAACTTACCACATCTAGGTAAGTCCAATATGAGTTTTATTACCGAGTTTCAAGTCTCTTCGTGTATTCATAATTGAGTTACAGTAATAAACTACCAAAAATTAAAATTCCTTAAAAGCTCAAAAATAACTCAAAAGTTTTGGCAATGATACCGTAAGAAAGTAAATCAAAAAGGCAACAAAAAATGTGTCTTGTAATTTTTCGATTAAAATGTTAAAAAATATCGTCCTTATTTTTATAAAATAATGAAATCGTGAAATTGTACGTTTTCCCACTTTTTTCCCACTTAAGTACTTTTATTTAAAAAAATAGTGTCAAAAATCAAAAAAATGACATGTTTAAAGTACCATCTAGATAACTTGAACTTAAAAAGTTGCTAAATGTAAAAATCGGAGCAAGTTTACTAAGAAAAAACGTGTCCACAGACTAGACAAAGAAAAAATAAAAATAAAGAAAAAAAGAATTAAACATTTTAGTAAAACCAATAGCTCTCTACGCTCGGAATCTAAAATTTAAATTGTTTACGAAATCAAAGAACTGTTACAAAAGTTTATTTCTAAACAAAATATTAATATTACTAATGAGTTGTTAATTTTTCAAATTTTTTGACGTTAACCAAAATGATTTACAATATTAATTTCCCACGGTAATAGCGAACCAGTTTATATTATGTAGAAGTAACAGAAAAAACAATTTAAAATATCGTATAATTATATAACGGACTTTTTTTTTAAATTTTTACTTTATAGTTAAAAAAAAACATTAATATAAAATATTGTAAGAATCATTGCGCAAGTCTCTGTGTAATCGTCGGGAAAAAGAAAACCTCACACATATAACACGGGACAAAAGTTATTGCATTTGTCATATCTCCGTGGAACGCCCTGTTTATTATGGGGGCTTTAAACAGGTATCGCATTTAAAGTGATAATCAAAAACACATAATGAAATTCAGCGTGCAAATTTATACAGTAGTTATAATAAAAGTTAGTTCTCGTTGTTCATTTGTGCGAACGATATGGCTTTATTTGTCGAGTTTTACCGACACCGTTGTTTACATTCGGTATTTAAATTTAATCAAAATAATATTGACTTATAAAAGTATATTCGGTGTTGTTTGACATCGTTTCAGTGAATTTCGGTATAGTATATTATTATTATTTTGTTTTTCAAAAGTAAAAAAAAAAGAATAAAAATTTGTTGGATATAGTTATATAAAATGGTGAGAAAAAAAAACAAATATCATTGTCAGAAGTTTTAGCCAAGTGGTGAAGATCCTGCAAAAAAAAAAAAAAAAACAGAAATCCTTTTGACCGTAAATATTTTCCAGCAAGTAAAGAATTTTGTATTACCCCGACATTCTTTTAACTGCCTGGGATTTTTTTATTTTTAAGTCGGAACTAAACAATAATATCAAACTTGTGTTAACTACTTAACAAAACGTATAAAACAACTTTTAATAATAGAAATTCATCGTCGATATCAATAATTGTACAGTGACGAAAAATATGAACATTGTATTATTTCAGTATACATAATAACGTGTGTATAAACAGATCAACTGTTTATGTTCTATCGATTTTCTGTAACGATTTTAAGTGAAATTGATTTTTGTTTTAGATTCTGAGTAGAGCGAGGAATGTATTGGTTTTACAATAATGTTTATTTTTATTTTTTTAAGCGAACACTTTTTCTACCAAAATCCTTACTCCGATCAAGTACAGCACCTTTCCTGAAAAGAAATATTGTCTGGATGGTATCAGAGAAAAGAAGTTTTTTTGAAATTCTCATTAATATTCGAGATAATGAGAAAATCTGGTTCTTTTGGTTAAAATAGATTGAAAGATTAAAAATAAGATTGTCATTGGCAACCGTTTTTATTTACTTTTTGTTTTTATTAAGTTTTTAATATTTAACCTTTTTTAAACAATCATTGTTGTCATGGAAATGCACATTGTTGAAAAAGCAACACTATAGACTAATAAATAAAACTATAGACTGAGCTATATTAAAATAAATAAATTTTGATTT